GTGGTGTGATTCCTAAATAGTGGAGTTGAGCTATTAAGTGAGCTCACGGGAAGTACCTGGTGGCCGCTGTCAGTGTCACTGTCTTTGCTGGGCTGGGGTATAGGGCTTGGCCTGGCCCTGGGGGTGCGAGGGTTGGAGGTGGGCTTCTGTTGGCACACAAGCGCTCTGCCTGCCTCCCTGCAGAGTGGCAGGATGAGCTCTCAGACAACCAGTCTGAGTATTCCATCGGCTCCGAGGACGAGGATGAGGACTTCGAGGAAAGACCCGAAGGGCAGAGTGAGTATCCGTGATGCTGACCTGGTCAGCCAGTGGACCCTGGTCTGCCGTGGGCCCCTGGTCTGCCGTGGGCTGTGGCTGGGGTCCTGCTGGAGGTAGTAGCAGGAGGATTCCTGAGGTGGGCTGGTGAGTGGTGGGGTGGGGAGGGCCCCCTTGGCCCTACCTGAGGGTTTGTGGCGGCTTCTCCCCAGGTGGACGGCGGCAGTCCAGGAGGCAGCTGAAAAGTGACAGGGACAAGCCTCTGCCCCCTCTTCTTGCTCGAGTTGGTGGCAACATTGAGGTGGGGCCTGCCTGTTCCCCGTCTCTCCCAGTTCCCCGTTCCTGCCACCCCTGGGGTATGGAGGAGGGGCTGTGGGCTGGTCCAGGGTCATATGCCAGGTAGAGGTGAGGCAGGGATGGACCCCAGGGGCAGGCTCCCCCCACCTTCTTTCTCCCCCATCTCTGAGTTCTCTGCACCCACTGTCTCTGACCTGACCCACACCTGCTCTCTGCCCTGCCCAGGTCCTGGGCTTCAATGCCCGACAGCGGAAGGCCTTTCTGAACGCCATCATGCGCTGGGGCATGCCGCCCCAGGACGCCTTCAACTCCCACTGGCTGGTGCGAGACCTCCGCGGGAAGAGTGAGAAGGAGTTTAGGTAAAGGGACCAAGGTGGTGGCCCAGGTGTGGCCTCCCAGTGTGTAGGCCCTCCCAGTGTGCAGTCTGCTGCTGCCAGGCTCAGGGTTTCTGGAAAGTTCATTGTCGTGTGGCCTTGGAGGGGTGCTGGTGGGGTGACTGGCAGAAACGCTAGCCGGCCTGTCTGCCTGGCCCGGCTGGCCACACTACAGTGGGGAACATCTGGGTCTTCCAGGGTGGGGCCATCCTAGGAAGGTCCCCTGCCAGGAGGGCTCCCTCTGTCCTCTCCCAAAGCCTGGCCCAGCAGGCCAGGTTGGGAGGTGAACTGTGGTTGACATGTCCAGCCAAGTGGTCCCCTGGGGTCCTGCCAGCCTCCTCAGAGGGTCCTGATGGCCCCCCACTCCCTGAGCCCCAGTCCCCCCACCACCCCAGAGCCTATGTGTCCCTCTTCATGCGGCACCTGTGTGAGCCGGGGGCGGACGGCGCGGAGACCTTTGCGGACGGCGTGCCCCGGGAGGGCCTCTCCAGGCAGCACGTGCTCACGCGCATCGGGGTCATGTCACTGGTTAGGAAGAAGGTGGGTGAGTAAGCGCCCTTCCTGGTGCCTTCCTGGGTTCCTGGCATTGTCCCTGGGGGTCAGCAGTCAGAGGGCAAGGCAAGTGCCCGGCACAGGCCTCATGGCTGCCCAGGGTTTGAGCCAGCCCAGAGGAATCCCAGAAGCCTTTCTGGGTGAGGGGCCCAGATGGTGGAGACAAAGATGGTGGGTCCCAGGGTCGAGGACACACGGGGTGACGGGGGCGCTGGCCGGGGTGTTTGTGCTCAGGAGTGTGTCTGCCTTGGTGGAGGGAGCACTCACTGAGCCTGTGACAGTCCAGTCCTGTGACTGCCCCTGGGCTTTTGGGCCGAGCTTCGACCACTACCCTCCCTGCTTCCCCCCGTGGCCCCAGGTCCAGGAGTTTGAGCACGTCAACGGGAAGTACAGCACTCCGGACCTGGTCCCCGAGGGACCGGAGGGCAAGAAGCCTGGAGAGGTCATCTCCTCGGACCCCAACACGCCGGTGCCCGCCAGCCCTGCCCATCTCCCCCCAGCCCCACTGGGCTTGCCAGGTCTGAGTCTGGGCGAGCAGGGGCGGGCATGTGGGTCACCGGAAGTGGCAAGGCCACAGTAGCCTTGAGTCCTGTGCGCAGTCCATGAAGGACGTTCCTGCAGAAGTTATCCCTACGAGTGTGTGTGTGTGTGGGGTTCTTCTTTTTTCTCTTGTTTCTGTGCAGTAGTGGGATTGAACCCCGGGGCACTCTTACCATTGGGCTACACCCCAGCCCTGTTCATGTTTTGAGACACGGTAGCTGGGATGATGGGCCTGAGGTACCGTGCCCAGCCCAGGGTTTTTCTTATTAGATCTAATCTGCCCGCGTACCACACGGCGCTCTCTGAAGCATGCTGGCCGGTGGCTCTGCTGTACTTGCAGGGTCCTGCAGTGGTCACTGCTTCCATTGCCAGAACACTCTCATCCACCCAAAAGAAGCCCGTACTCACCAGCAGTCCCTGCGGGTCTCCCCTCCCCAGCCCTGGGCAGCTGCTGGTGTGCTTCTGTCTGGATTTGCCTGTTCTGGACGGCTCAGATGAACAGTCTCACACTCTGTGGCCTTTGCTGGCTGGCTCCTCTCGTGGAGCATTGAGTTCCAAGGGCTGTCTACACTGCGGCATGGATGGTTCTCCAGTCCTCCTGGGGCCCAGTGGCCTTCCCCGTAGGGATCCGCCACCCCGTGTCCGTTCGTCCGTTGATGGGCGGCTGGGTGACCTCCGCGTCCTGGCTGGCGTGGATGGTGCGAGCGTCTGCACCCGTGTCTGTGTGTGGACACAGGCTCTCATTTCTCTCTGTTCTGTCTTCATCCACTCTTGGGCAGATACCTGGGAGTGGGTTGCTGGGTCGTATGGGAGCTGCCAGCCTGTTTTCCAGAGTGGCCACACCATTTTATTCCTGCCGGTGATGTGTGAGGGTTCCCGATTCTCTGTGTTCTCACCAAACTCAGGAACCTGGTTGTCCGACAGGATTCCAGCTCCCTTGTGGTGAAGTGCCGGCTTGTGGTGGTTTGATTTGCGTTTTCCTGGTGGCTGAGCGAGTTGAGCATCTTTTTGTGTGCTCATTGGCTATTTTTTAATGTCTATTTTGGAAGAAATGTCTTTTCAAGCTGAACTCAGTGGTGCACACCTGTAGTACCTCAGGAGGCTGAGGCAGGAGGATCAAAAGTTGAAGACCAGCCCCAGCAACTTAGCAAGACCCTGCCTCAAAATAAAAACTGAAAAGGACTGGGATGTAGCTCAGTGGTAAAGTGCCCCTGGGTTCAATCCCTAATACCAGGAAAAAAAGTATTTCAGGAAAAATAAAGTATTTCCAGATTCTTTGCCCATTTTTAATTGGGCTGTTTGTCTCCAGATGTCCTTTTGGTGATCTGTGTGCTATTCAGGCAAAGTGCCTTCCTCTGTTGGGCCTGACCGGCCTGGGGCAGACACCCGTCCCCAGGCTCCTGGACGCAGGCATGCTCTTAGGAGGTTGGCTTCTGGCTCTGCCCTGAAGTCCGTGTGACCTAGGGCAGGTCACCCACCCTGAGCCTTAGTTTCCCATGTGTAACGGGGATGAGATGGTACCCCTCCCTCCTGGAGACCCTAGTTGTGTGGGGACCTGACAGTGGGGAGGGGACTCACTTGTCTAATGGCACACGGCCAGTGTGGACCAAACCCAGGCTTCCTGGCTCCTGGCTGGGAGGTTGGACAGTCACCATGTGAACCAGCACCTCACGCCTAGTGGTGTACCCAAGAGGGATCAAAACCGGCTTCCACCCTCCTCACCCGCCTCCTGCCAGGGGGCAGCCACTGCTATATGCAGCCCTGTCCCGACGGACCCTGACTTTGGCCTCACCGGGCCCAATGTCCTACGTGGGTCTCTGACTGGAGGCCAGGCCTGTGCTCTCTGGTGTACCTGGGAATCCTGCCCACTTCTTCTGAAAGTTCTGGTCCTCGTGGAGCCTCCTGAGGGCCAGGCCCCGTCTGTCTGTCCTGCAGTCCCGCTCCCTACCCTTGTACTTTTTCACCTGAGCCCCTCTGTCTCGGAACTTTTCTCTCTTCTTCTTCTTCTTCTTTTTTTTTTTAACTGGGGATTGAACCCAGGGGAGCTTGGCTGCTGAGCTACATCCTCAGCCCTTTTTATTTTTTTGAGGTGGGGGCTCACTAGGTTCCTGGGGTTGGTCTTGAACTTACGATGGTCCTGCCTCAGCCTCCAGATCTATGCTGGGATCGCGGGTGTGCGCCATCGCGCCTGCTCACTGCTTCCCTTGAATCTTTCAGACAAAATGGAAACACAGCTGGGCTTCGTGGATGAGAAGGAGCCAGTGGTGCAGAAGCCAAAGAAGCCCTTGGATGTCCAGGTACACAGGCTGCTGGTGTCTGGGCCTGAAGCAGGCGTTGGGTGAGGTGGGGGGCTAGGGACCCTCTGGGGCCTTGCCAAGCCATGAGGACCCAGGCACCCTTGCTCCCAGTTTGAGGCCTCTGGATGGGAGCGGGGAGCCGGCTGGGAGCAAGTGAAGGGAGGCAGGATCATGGGCCCCGCCCTCCTTTCCCGCTGAGGCCTGTCCTCTCCAGGCCCCGTCAACTGCCCTGGACAGAGGGGAGGGTGAGGACAAGCACGAGAGCTCAGACAACAAGGAGAGAGCCCGAGAGGAGCGGCCAGAGGAGGTGGAGAAGGCCCAGCCCTCCCCGGAGCAGCTGCCCAAAGGTAGGGCCTTCCGGGTGCCCTCCCGCGGTTGGTGTGGCCTCTGGCCTAAGCAGGGCAGGCCGGTGGGTGGACTGTGCTGCTCTCCCTTTCTCTCTGCTGAGGGTAGGTCTGGCAGGCTGCGTGAGGGCAGGGCAGGGGCTCAGGTCTCTGCACGTGGACTCTCATCTTTCCGCCAGACAGGGGCGTAAGGATCGGTGACTTCTGACTCGGGTGCATTCTGGTTTGGGAACAGGAGCCTGGGGATACTGTTGAAACCTGCCTTCTGGCTTTACGGGTCATCCTCTGGTGAACGTTTTGTGTGTGCTTGAAAAGAGTGTCCATTTCTAACCGCTGGGGGCAGGTTCCGAGTATGGGCATTAGCTTTGCTCAGGACCCCACGGGATGTGTCCTTACTGGGATGCAGTTGACTGGCTGCTTTCTGAGAGACTCTGTTGACCCTGTTCCTGGGATGACGGGTCCACCTCTGTCCTTGTAGGGCCCGATTCTGGATTCTGCTTCCTGTGATTTGAGGCTGGGTGTCGGGTGTTCATCTGTTTGGGGGTTTCTTATTTTTCTGGTGATGCGGCCGTCTAATTCTCCTGTGGTAGTAGTGATCATCTCTCCTGATCCATTTTGCTTTGAAGTTTATTATGGCTGATTTCTACTGACCATCTGTTGAATGTGTACTATATGCCTTTTTCTATCTCCGTTTTTTTCTTTAAAAACATCGTGGCTGGGCTGTGATTCACCTGCAGGAGTTCATGCATTTCCAGTGTACCTCCCGCCCACGGGTCTTGAGGACATTCACAGACGTGTGTGACCATCACCGCCGTCTAATTCCACAACATTCCGTCACGCTGGAGAGAAGCTGTGTACCCATTCCCAGTCCCTCCCCATTTCTTCCTCTCCCCAGTTCCTGGCAATCGCTACTCTATTTTCCGTCTCCGTGGTGGATTCGCCTCCTCGGGGTTTCCTGTAAACAGAACCATAAAACTCGCTGGTCTTCTGTGTCTGGCCTCCTTTGTTTGGCACGGTGTTTTTAAAGCTCACCCGTGTCTTGGAAGGCTGGTTTCCTTTCTGTAGCCAAGTGATTTCCCGTTGACTGGGTTGGTGGGTTTGTTTATCCGTTCATAGCTGATGGATTTGGGGCTGTGCCTACCTTCAGCTATTGTGAAGGATTCTGGTGTGAACATATGTGCCCACGTTTTTGTGTGAACGTGGGTTTCGTTTCTCTCGGGTGTCCACCCGGGAGGAGGCTTGCTGGATCGTACGGCAGCTGTTTCATATTTTGAGGAATGGTGAATTGTTCTCACACGTGCTGACCAGTTTACATGCCCACCAGCAAGGCGCGAGGGTTGCCCCGTGTGCTAGTCCACCCTTGTTCTTATCTGTCTTGGTTATAGCCATCCTAGGGGTGAGAATCGGTCTCCTGTTGGGGTTCCTGTTTGTACTCCGTTTGTGCCTGAAGATGTACTTTTTCAGGTGCTTATGGCCCATGGGTAAATATGTTTGAGAAATGTCTTTTCGGATTTTTTGCCCATTCTAAGATTTTGTGATTTGTCGTCTTCTTATTGACTTATAAGGGTTCTCCCCCCTCCCACCCCAGGTGCTGGAGATTGAACCCAGGGTGCTCTACCATTGAGAGTACCCCCAAGCCCTTTTTATTATTATTTTTTTTTTATTTTGAGACAGGGCCTTGCTTTGTTGTAGAGATTGGCCTTGAACCTGCGATCCTCCTGCCTCAGCCTCCTGAGTTGCTGGAATGCTAGGCTGCACCTCTGTGCCCAGCAGGAGTTCTTTATAGATTTGTGTTTCCTTACCAGCCGTATGATTCGCAGATGTTTTCCTTGGTTGCTTTACTTTTAATCTCTATGCATTTGTGTTTTAGGCATCTCTTATAAACCCCGTAGAGGACTCTCTAGTTTAAATCTCTGTCTTTTGGCAGGGAAGTGTGATCTCTTTACATTTATTGCAGGAATTAGGTAGTTGGATGAATTTGTATCTTGTTTTTATACGACTCTTGCCTTTTTTTCCTTTTTTTTCTCCCCTCTTGCTGCATTTTGAAATGATCACATCTCTTCATAGTTCTCTTTCCTCCCGACTCGTTTGGAACGTTTATGGTTGATTGTGTTCTGCGGTGTTGATTTTTACCACACAGCCCTCCTGCATCGCATCGAGACCGTGGACTGTTAGCTGTAGTTCACTTCCCTCCCCTCTGCTCTGTGGCTTTGGCCTTGAATTTTTAGTTTCAGTTTGCTTTGACGTCCGTCCCCACGTTTGCTGATGTCCCTCTGATGCTCTGATCCTTGTTTAGGTCTTCAGAGTCTCTTTGCTTTTGTGTGTGCTCACCTGTCCCCTACTGCTTCACTGAAGTCCCCTTTCCAACACACCCTTTAATGGTGCTTCCCGCAAATTCCTGTGGATTGTTTCCCTTTCCCCTTGAATGATGGTAAGGCTGAGGTGGGCCGGGGATTTCCCCTTAGCCCTTTGAAGATATCTATCTCCTTTTTATTCTGGCTTTCATTGTGCTGCTGGGAAGGATGCTACCAGTGAATTGTGGATCCTTTGGAGGACATCTTATTTTCTACCATTAAAAGACTTTTTTTGAATGTGTGGTGGTGGGGGTTGAACCCGGGGCCTTGTGTGTGCGAGGCAAGAGCCACATCCCCAGCCTCAGAAGGCTGCTTTTAAGATTTTCTCTGTCTTTGGCGATGTGTGGTTTCAACACAGGGAAATTCCTGCCCTGCTTGAGATTCCCTGATTCTCAAAGCAAAGCTTGTAGGTCCTAGATCAAGTGTGGGGAAACTCCCGGTCATTCCCTCTTTGCAAACTGTCGGCTCCATCACAGTTCTTTCCTCCTGGAATTCCTACAACTCGTGGATCCATTCACTTTCCAGCAAGATGTAGAGCGAGCTGACTGTCAGTCACTGTTCCAGGTGCTTGGGACACAACCCGTGAACCAGAGCCGCCCTGGTGTGAGACGTGGGCAGCACCAATAAGTAGAGGAGACTTCGGATGCTCTGAAGAAAGCAGGGGACCAGGACGGGCAGCGGCATGGGTGCGAGCAGCCCTTCACATCTTGCTGCCTTCTTGCCTTTCTCTGCGTGGTTTCTGGGTTCTCCTCCGACCCAGCTTCGGTATCCTGGCCTGACCTGGCTGTGTCTCCGGCTTCCCATTTGCTCCGCTCCGTGGCTGCGGAGGCATGACTGCACATCCCAGGGCTCAGAACAGTGCGTGTGTTAGCTCCCGGCTCTCGGGTCAGAAGGCAGGCGAGGGCGAGGGCGCGGCCGAGTCCTCTTGCGGAGGTCTTGGAGACGGAGATCAAAGTTTTGGCTAGGCCAGGTTCCCCCCTGAGGGTTCTGGGGAGAAAGCACTTCCAAACTCACTCTTGTTGACTGACTTTGGTCTCTTGAGGTTGGGGGACTTGGAGGACTGAGGTCCCATTTCCTTGCTGGCACCACCTGGGGGCCACATGCTGCCAGCTGCCACCTGCGTTTCTTTTTCTTTTTTTTAAATTTTAATATTTATTTTTAGTTCTCGGCGGGCACAACATCTTTGGAGGTATGTGGTGCTGAGGATTGAACCCTGGCCGCACGCATGCCAGGCGAGTGCGCTACCGCTTGAGCCACGTCCCCAGCCCGCACCTGCGTTTCTTGATGTGTCAAGCCAGCTCCACCCTCAAGCCAGCAAGGGACCGCAGGGCCTCTCCTGCATTGGCCTCTGCCTGCCTTTCCCGTGGCTGGCCTGGGAGGGCTCCCTGCTTTTAAAGAGCTTTGTGACGGGGTCAGGCCCACGCAGGTAACCCCCTGTTTTAAGGTCACTGTGCCACTCGTGGGAGTAGGATCCATCATATTCCATCCTGGGGACTTTGAGGGCACCTTAGAAATCTGTTCCCAATTGTGAATTTCATCTCTATAGATTGTCTGGCTTTTCCAGTTTGTTTTGTTTGTTTTTGGTACAGGGAATTGAAGCCGGGGTGCTCGACCACTGAGCCACGTCCCTAACCCTTTTTATTTTTTATTTTGAGACTGGGTCTTGCTTAGTTGTTTAGGGCCTCAGTAAGTTGCTGAGGCTGGCCTTGATCTTGCAATCTTTCTGCCTCCGCCTCCTGAGTCCCTGGATTATAGGTGTACGCCACTCTCCCTGGCTCCCTGATTGTTTTTTTTTTTTTGGTGTGAGGATTGAACCCAGGGGCACTTTATCATTGAGTCCCATCCTTGGCTCTTTGTAATGTTTTATTTAGAGAAGGGTCTTCCTGAGTTGCTTAGGGCCTCACTAAGTGGCTGAAGCCGGCTTTGAACTTGGGATCCTCCTGCCTCAGTCTCCTGTGCTGAGGGATTACAGGCGTGCTGCATAGCATCTGGCTCCCAGCTTGTTTTTGGTCTTATTCTTCCCCTGTGGGCTGTGTTCTTTCTGTCCATTTCCCTTCCCTTTAGCCATTCCAGACACTCTGGCTTTAGTGCCTGTCTCCTGGTTTTATCACCTCCTGGTGACACGGCTGCTCGCGACTCGCTGCTGGGTTGCCCAGGTGGATGGATGGTGGTTTCCCAGGTTCTGGATGTCACCTGGATAGTGTCATGTCCCTCCCCCTTTATTTCCAAGTGCTTGGGGCCCAGTGGTCCCACTAGTAGATTTGCTGGTCTTTGCTGGGACTGGTCGGTTGTGACCCTGCAGCCTGGGGGTCCCAGACTTGGGGTTTAGGCTCCTCAGGAGCACCTTCTTCCCCTGGGGCTCTGCTGGAGATGGGCTTCTGGCTGTGCCTGTCGTATGGAACTTCCACTCACAGAGCAGACCGGTCGCAGGGCGCTGGCTCAGCTCCAGTGCTCTGTGTCCTTTGGGTTGACCCATCTGTCCTGCTGAGGTGTTGAGACCCAGCCCCAGCACCCCGATTCCCGGTGGTTATGACTCCCTGCTGGGGCCACCAAATGCCAGCTCATGTATCCCTGGCTTTAATTTCTTCTTTGTTTCTGGCTCCTGATGACTTTCTTTACTTTTACTGAACTCACTTTTTGTTTTTTTTGAGGAGACAGGGTCTTGCTGTGTTGTCCAGACTGGCCTTGAATTCCTGGGCCCAGTGAGCCTCCGTGGACCACCCCACTCAGATCTCCTGTGTTGATGGCTTTTTTGGTGATGTGATTGTGTGTGTGTGTGTGTGTGTGTGTGTGTGTGTGTATCATCTGTTTGTGCTGCTGGGGGTCTGAACCCTGGCCCTGCAAACACTAGGCAAGCCCTAAGCTGTCCCCAGCCCCACGAATGCCATCTATTCTGCCTGGAACTTGTGGATGTTTTAAGAGGAGTTCCACAGGGCTGTGGCCTGCCCAGTGGCTGGACTTCACATCCTTTGGTTTTTGGTGCAGGAGGGCGATTCCAGACTATGGCTGGCAGGTGGGGGCAGGGCAAGCCTCTGGAGTGGGTGTCCAGGCCTGGACTCCCAGAGCTCATGGATGCACCTGTTGGACTTCAGGTAGAGGCATGGGGTTCTTTGACCTCCTGAGCCTCCACCTGGGAACCCTCTTTATCTTGCAGAGGAAGTGCCTCCTGAGAAAGAGAGAGCTCTGGACAAGCTGGAGCTAGGCTTGAGTCACAGCAGAGGGGACGGCAGCGACTGCAGGCCAGGTTTGGGGCTTTTCTGCTTTCTTCCTTGTGTCCTTTGGTCCCTGATGGTCCTCCTGGGCCCTGGTCAATCATCTTATTGGAGCTGGGCATGGGAGCCTGGACTCACCAGTCCCTGGTAGCACAGTGGTCTGCTCCCTGGAAATGGCCCCCCTGCTCTCTCCTGGCCCTTCCTTCCATGGCCCCTAGGGAGGGTGAGACCTGGTCATAGGTCTTGGGTTGGAGGATTTGGGGTTCAGCTTTGCATTTGGTAGGTGCTGTAAATCCTAGAACATTGTTCCTCTGGACCCCTGCTTGCCTTTGGACCCTGGCCAGTGCCTTGGTTGGACAGTTAACATGATCTCAAGATCTTTTTTTTTTTTTAATATTTGTTTTAGTTGTAGGTGAACACAATAACCTTAATTCAATTTTTATGTGATTCTGAGGATCGAACCCAGTGTCTCAGTTAACGAGATCTTTCCACTCACAGATGACCCCAAAGCTGAGGAGAAGGAGCCCGCTGAGACGCAGCAAAACGGTGACAGAGAGGAGGACGATGAGGGGAAGAAGGAAGAGAAGAACGGGAAGTTCAAGTTCATGTTCAACATTGCCGACGGGGGCTTCACGGGTATGTGGGGGCAGAGAGCTGGGGCTGCTGCTGTCCCTGACTGTGGGCCCGGGAGCTGGGCCGGTGTTGCTTTGTGCTACGGTGTGAATGGTTGAGGAAAGTCTGTCTCATGTCCTGTCCTGGTACATCGGAGCCTTGAACTCTGGGGTGGTGTGAAGGGCCAGTGTTGGGGAGCGCTTCCAGCCCACCGCTGAGACAGCAGAGTGGGGCTCCTCTCATTCTGTTCGTTGGCGGTTTTCCCAGAGCTGCATACCTTGTGGCAGAATGAGGAACGTGCCGCTGTGTCCTCGGGAAAGATCTATGACATCTGGCACCGGCGCCATGACTACTGGCTGCTGGCGGGCATCGTGACGTATCCTTGGGCAGACCAGGCCGGGCGGGTGCTGGCCCCTGGCTCTGGGAACCTCAGCAGGAGCCCTCTGAAGGCTCGGTGGGGACCCTGTAGCGCCTTCTCCTAGCTTCCAGGGACGCCCTGGCACTCACACGCGGGCTCTGTGGTCCGGTCCAGACTTCCCTCCTCTTACCTGGACCTGGTCTACGCGGCCTCTTGTCCATCACGCCTCTGAGACTGCTTCCAGCTCGGGCCCCACGCACAGGCCCTGGGTGTTGGCACTTGGGCCTCCCCACCCTGGTTATTGGGGTGGAGGAAGTGGCCATGATGGGGTCCCTGTGCCATGTCTGGCACACTGAGGACCCCTGTCACTGCCTGAAGAGATTGTCCCCATTGCCCCCCATCAAAGAGCTGGGTGCCGAGCCCAGCTGCCAGCCCCACCCCTCCCTGTGGCCAGCTTTGTCCTTAACGGTGCCTGCAGGCATGGCTATGCCCGCTGGCAGGACATCCAGAATGACCCGAGGTACATGATCCTCAACGAGCCCTTCAAGTCTGAGATCCACAAGGGCAACTACCTGGAGATGAAGAACAAGTTCCTGGCCCGCAGGTTCAAGGTCAGTCCTCGGCAGGGCCAGAGGTGGGGGGGCAGGGAGAGGGGCCTTCCTTCCTGCCTGGGCCTGGCTGGGCGCTGGTGCAGGAGGAGCGTGGCCGTCCAGGGGAGGGGCCAGCCAAGCTCTCACCCCCCAGCTGCTGGAGCAGGCGCTGGTCATCGAGGAGCAGCTCCGGAGGGCCGCGTACCTCAACATGACCCAGGACCCCAACCACCCAGCCATGGCCCTCAACGCCCGTCTGGCCGAGGTGGAGTGCCTTGCCGAGAGCCACCAGCACCTGTCCAAGGAGTCCCTTGCCGGGAACAAGCCTGCCAACGCTGTCCTGCACAAGGGTGAGCCGCCCCGGGCCAGGGCACCCTGGGGGAGGGGCAGGGGCAGAAGGTCCGGCCCAGGGCCTGGCCTCCTGGGTCGGCCTGGGGCCGTCCCTCACTGAGGGGAAACAGGCTCCTTTCTTGGACCTGTGAGCAGGCCCTGGGCTGGGTAGGTGACGGGCCGCAGGATTTAAAGCCTCATGGTTATGGAGCCTGAGGTGCACCTCCCTTCAGTTCTCACGCACCCGGTGAAGCTGTGTGTCCTCTGTGTGCTAGTGAGCCTGGTCCTGTGAGCCCTGCATCCTGTCCCCGGGGTTGGACCAGGCTGTGGCCTCCTGGGGAGCTCTGTGTGTGAAGGGAAACCCTGTGTTTCTGCTTTGCCTCTGCCAGGGCAGGGGCCCCTGGAGTTGTTTGGAAAGCCCACTGATCCTCCAGTTGGCCAAAGGGCTTCCTGCGCCTGGCGAGGGCGCCCCCTGGTATCCGATGCGGGCGTGCCGTAACACACCCTTGTAAATGAGGGCTGGCCTGGCTGCGGCGTGGGTGGCACCAGCCAGCCAGCCCCTCCATTCCTGGGCCCTCCTGCCCTGCAGTCCTGAACCAGCTGGAGGAGCTGCTGAGTGACATGAAGGCAGATGTGACGCGCCTGCCCTCCATGTTGTCACGCATCCCCCCGGTGGCTGCCCGCTTGCAGATGTCGGAGCGCAGCATCTTGAGCCGCCTGACCAACCGTGCCGGGGACCCCACCATCCAGCAGGTCAGGTTCAGACTGCATGCCGTGCATGGGGCCAGCCCCTTGGGCGCCCGCTGCCCCAGCTGGGGCTGGGTGGGTGCTGAGCGGCGCCTGTAAAGCTGAATCCTTGCCTCCAGGGCGCTTTTGGCTCCTCCCAGATGTACAACAACAACTTTGGGCCCAACTTCCGGGGCCCTGGACCGGGAGGGATTGTCAACTACAACCAGATGCCCCTAGGGCCCTATGTGACTGGTAGGTGCCCCTCCGCTTCCGGGCAGCATGCACACGGTGCCCTGCCAGGGCCCAGCCTGCCGCCTGCTGCGGATGCCCAGCAAGCCCCGTGTTCTCTCTCTTTGGCAGATATCTAGCCGTCCCTGTGACTTCCCCCTGTTGCAGCGCTCATTTCCAGCTGAGGTGAGGTCCCTCCTGGCTGCTCCCCTGTCCTGCGCCCACCCGGCCAGCTTGGCAAGTCAGGCCTGGCTAGAACTAGCCCGTCCATGTGCTTGATTCTGGTCCCTAAGCCTCAGGTCTTCACTTCCCCAGGCTTTGGAAGTCACCCACTGGCCTGGAGCCCTCCACCCAGCCCCCCTTTGCCCCGGGACCACCTTGGGCCAGGCTGTCTGCCATGGGAGGCTGGGTGGCAGGACACAGAGGACCCAGTGGACCTGGGCAGACCCTGTGTGTGCACCTCCGTCTTTGTACTTCCATGTACACCTGTGTTCTTGGTGGTGAGTTGGGACAGTTGCCCCAGAGCAGTGCCCCGTCCTGCCTTGACTGTCCTGCTCAGTGGGGCGCTGCGGGCAGTTATGTCTTGTTTCATACCCTCACTGAAAGCTTGAGGAGTGTCACTGGAATGGAGAGGGAGGGGGGCTATCACAGACTAACTGCCAGCTCTTGCCACCTCCTTCACTGGGACCACCAGCTTCCCCTGAGTTCTGTCCCCATAAGAGCAGACAGGACAGTTTGAGGGTGAAGGTGATGGACTTCCAGGCTGGTCAGCCCACTGGAGACTGAGGAGAGCTGTCCAGCACCCTGGGTACAGCTCACGGCCTGGCCAGTGGTCAGCTGTAGGCTCTGGGGTATCTCTGGCCACCTGGCCACCTAGACACATAACCCACTGACCTGCTTTTTGCAGCCACACTTACCGGGCCACCTGCCTGACCCCCACGGGAGAGAAAAGCTGCTGCCTTTTTAGAACCGGTGCCACCTTGGGACAAAAGGGAAATGGAGAAGTGCCATCCTCTCACAGAGAACGAGGCCTAGCCTGGCTGGCCAGAGCCCAGAGTGCCACCTTGTCGTAATTGAGTTCTTCCACACAGCGTCACACCCACTGCCATGCTGGACATGCCCTCTCGCCACCTTTTCCAGACGACTTCCTAGAGAGATTTCATTTATCTGTACATCTTTTGCACTTTCCTATTGAAGATTCGGATGAATTTGTCTTGATAAAAGTTGGATGACGTATGGAAGATTCTGAGCACAGCACTCACGTCTCGTCACCAGGCTCCAGACCTAAGGGGAAGCTCCCTGGAGGCCCTGGCGCCACCCTGCAGGCTCAGCCCAGCTGGGGAGAACTCAGTGTTTCCTGCCCCGTCCCGCCTGCCCTCCTGCTGCAGCCCCTGCCTGCCTGGTACCCCCAGAACCAGGTGGGCCAGGTGGGAGAGGGGCCACCTTGCTCTGACGGAGGAGATGCTGCTGATGCTGGATCAGACAGGGTTTTCCTGTCTCCTTCCTGCCCGGGATGGAGACCACCAGGTAGAGGCCGTCTTCTGGGGGATACATGTCTGTCCCTGGCCCAGCATGTCCTGAAGGTTGGGCTCTTGCTACCAGCAGAGAGGCCCCAGAGGTACATGGCAGGCTTCAGCGTGTGCGGCCAGGGAGGAGGGGCATGAGTCTGCCGGAGCCACTGCAGGAAGGGACGGAGGTTTGCCATCTGCTGGGGGTGGTTATGGGCAGGTGAGAGCTGTGTCCTGGTAAGGAGGGACCTGGTCTTTGATGGCCCAGGAGACCCTGCCTTGTCCTGTGTCCTGCGAGGCCTGTCCACCCACCTTTGGGTATAGACGTTTCTGTTCTGGGCCACAGATGTGGAGGAATCAGGCAGACCCCTGAGGCCTGGACTGTCCCCTTCTCTGTCCCTGGGGGGTCCTCCATCTGGGCTGCCCTTAATGAGTTCTTGGAGGGTGTGGGAAGAGCTCTGCGGGGAGGCAGGGCACTGGACACTCAGTGGCCTCTAGACCCTTCTTAGCAGGAGCCTTCCTGCTTCTGCCTCCTCTGTGGGAATGCCGTGGAGCCCCTGCCCTTCTTCCCACCTGTGCCTGGTTGGAATCCAGCTCCACCCTGGCTCTTCCCCGCCCTCAAGACCTCATAATGCCCCGACGCAGGATGGGGGTCAGTGGGAGCTGGCCAGGCCTTGTGCCTGTTGTCTAACCCTCCCACTGGCCCAGCGTAGCGGACAGGGCTGTGCAGCCTTGAGCTGGAGCCTGCCGGGGGGGGGTCCTTTAGTGCAGAAGGAAACTCACTGAGGAACTGGCTGGGCCTGGGGCCAAGAGGGGCTCAGACTCCACTCCCTGGGAGAGGCATGAGGGACGTGGTGTCTCTGGGCCTGTCGGGGACAGAAGTGAGGCCAGGGGCAGTAGTCAGTCTCAGCCTCATCTCATGGACACTTGGGCAAATGCCCGGCCCTCCCTGAGCTCCAGGTTGCTCATCTGTAACATGGCTTTTTCTCTGAACCCCTGGACCAGACCCCAAGGCCCCTTGTTCCGGTCTTGAGAGCAGGGGTGGGCCAGGGGAGGAGAGCCCCGGAGGCGGAGAGGGTTGGGTGGTCGGCAGGCTTGAGCATGCAGAGTTCCCGGGGTGGCTGCCCCGCCTCCCAGGAGGGTGGCCCTTGTCCTCACAAGTCCCTGTGGTCATCTAGCACCACCATCCTCTGGTCAGCGCCCCTGCAGCCTCCTGGCTCAGGCCAGATGAGAAGACCTGCCGCGAGCTCACTCCCCAACCCAGGGCCACTGTGATGTCATCCTCAGTGGGTGGACAGTCAGCCCCTGGGTGGCCTCTGGGACAGCCCCGGCCCCGCCCCAGTGCAGGGTCCTAGGCCAGTTGATGACCCTCTCCCTTGCCCCTCCCAAGGGCTGGTGGTCTCCCTGGTTGTGACTCCTCCCTGGAAACCTTGCTTGGTCCCTCTCTCTGCTTCTTCCCAGACCTGTCCAGGGGACCCTTGTCCCCCTTCCCTGCTGGGCTGGAGGTGGCCCCCACAGCCAGCCTGGCCCTGGGAAGAGCGTGTTCTCCATGACCAGCACCCAAGACACCCGGGAGGGTGGGCTGCCGAAAGTGGGGCAGGAAAGGTTTTCCAGATGGTTCTCATCCTGGTTCCTCAGTAACTTCCTGCCAGAGCTGTGGCGGGGAGGGAGAGCCCGGGGGAGGCCTGCCTTGGCCTCTTCAGGCCGTTGGATTTGCCCTGGAGATGGCCGCCCTTGAGCCCCAGGGCAGCCTGCCTTCCTGGTCCCAGCCCTCTGTTTTGTCCAGTGTGGGGGTTTGTTGAGCTGCCTTTGGGCCAAAGGGCTCAGCGGTCTGCCAGGTGGCACTGGCCTTGGGTTGGCGTGGCCACTTCTGAGGGCACCTTCCCTCACACCTGCCTCCAGGCTGCTCTGTCCCCCTGGGGCCAGGCGGGAGGAGCCTCCCTGAAGAGCGGCCGGAGGATCCTGTCTCCTGCAGCTTTGGCTTCTCCCAGAGGCAGGCCCCATCCCTTGTCCCACAGCTAGGTCCTCCTGTGGCTGGGCTTCCTTCCCAGAGTCCACCCAGGCCCAGGGTTGACCAGGACTCGGCCTGCAGATCCCAGGGCCACTGAGGGACTGAGGGGTGGACCCGTGGCCTCTAGTGTGCATGGGGGCCTGGGAGGGCGAGGCCGACCCACCCCCCTGGCCTCGCCGTCCCGGTGGCCTGGTTGTAGCTTCAGGTGGACGGTGCCCCAGCCCTTCTGCACAGCCTTGGCACCAGGGGGAGCCGCTGCTCCTGCTGGTCCCCGAGTTCACAGGTTGTGGCCGTGAGCCCAAGGCGTGGGGGTGGTTGTGTTTATGGAGTTTTTTCCCCTTAAGTTTCAGATTTTTTTTTAAACAAAGTATTTTTTTAGGTGCGATACCCAGAAAGGGCCCGTTGGGTGTGTGTGTGTGTGTGTCCCGACTCCTCGCACGGAGGTTGGCGCCCCCGCCTTGCAGCTCCTGCTGGCTTGGCCTGGAGAGAGGAGGGAAGGCCCGCCTGGGCGGCGGAGGAGGGACTTGCCTGCCCAGGCCCCTGGCCCAGGCGCATCCTCAGGCTGGCCAAGGGAGGGCCTGGCACTCTGGGCCAGCTAAGAGGGTCTCTCCTGCTGCGGGGCCCCTAGTGGGGCAGGGGTTGAACCTTGGACACCAAGTTCCCCGGGGGTTGTGGCTCACCGTCTCCTGCAGGAGGCTGGCAGAGACCACAGCCAACACAGTCACCTTTTCTTTGTACTCTGCGTGTATGTTTTGGTTTCTGTGTTTTAATAAACCCTTTGGGAAGGGACTGAGTCAGATTCTCATTTACAAAAGGGCTGGGGAGGGTGGAGTGGGGGACCCTGCTCCAAGGCACGTCCCACCTGAGAAGTCACACTTCTAGGGCTTGGTCGCACTGGGAGGGATGGGCAGTGAGTAGCCATGTGCTGGGGAGATGTCCGTCTACCTGCACCCCCATCTTGTGGGCTTCCCCAGGCCCCGACCCTTATCATGAGGACCACAGCCAACCAGTTCCTCAAGCCACGACAGCCTCCCAGCAACCGTCCCTGGGCCGTGGGACAGGGCCACAGACCGTGTGTGTGTCGGGTGCAGGGGGGGCACCCTGGCCCCACGTCTGACCCTGGTCTTTGCCTCCTGCAAGGTCCTTCACCCCGACCCACCTTTTGGCCCTAGGGTCCGGTTCGGGAGCCCCAGTCTTTGGGTGTCTGCAGCTGGCAGCCCTGGCCCAGCCTAGACCTAAGGAAACGAGAACAGGAGGCAGGGGACCCGCAGGCTTGGGTTTATTAGTCATTCCACGGACAGGCGGCCGGGTCCCGGTCTGTCTGGTTGGGAAGCTCGAGGCAGGCGCGGCAGTCTGCCGTGGGGAACGCGGTAGCTGGGGAACCACGGTGGTGAGAAAGGGGGAGGGAGGGCGCGTGATTTACAGACTGGCTGAGAAGACGGTGGCCGGGCGCCTTCCCCGGGACCCCAGATCTGACCATGTGTTTGGGATGAGCAGTAGGGGGGCTCTGCTGCCCCCCCACCCTGGGCCCTCTCCTATGTCGGGCCCGCCCAGTGGGCCCCTGCTTGGCAAACTGCTTCCAGAAGAGGGTGGGGGCTGCTGGAGGGTGGCCAGGCAGGGCCAGGCAGGGCCAGCCGGCAGCTGGGGCCCAGGAGGTAGGCCTGGCACCCAGGGAGAGCTGCTGGTCCTCGACCTGGGCTGGTGCCCCTGAGGCTGGGCAGCTCTCCCCTTCCAGGCTCAGGCTGCCCTCGGCCCTCTGCTCCTTCTCCAGAGGTCCTGCCCAACTCCCTCCAGCCTCCTTCCCACTGGGTACCACCCCCAGGAAGCAGAGCCCCGTCCTCCCTGCAAGTGGAGCCAGAGGAAGAGATGCTTCAGAGCCACGTTGCTGGAAGTGCCACCCGGGGCTGCCTGGGCTCTGGGCGGGGTGTGCACGTGTGGCCCAGGGCCCTTGCCTCCCTTGCCTTGGTAACACGGCCAGCGGGCACCGCTTTCCCCGCAGCAGCCCTGCCGCGGACCCCACTGCACACTGCAGACCACCTCCCAACGGGCTCCCTGCCAGTGAGGAGGGCCACTGGCCCTCAGTACCACCCTCTGCCCACTGCAGGGCCCTGTCCTTGGAGCAGCATGGAGGGGAGTGGCCTCAGCCCAGTGGCCTCCGCTGGAAAAGGACAGCACCCTCTCGGGAACCCACGGCTGCTTCTGGTGCAGCAGGTCTTGGTGGAGGACCCCAGGGTCTGTCTGGGCAGGGTGAGGGCTGTAGCCTACAGGGCCGTCAGGAAGGCGGATGGGGAATGGAGGGCACCGTGTGCCTGGCCTCCTCTCTCCCCTGCCCGCCTCCTCCCTCCTCTCTCCCCTGCCCGCCTCCTCCCCCTCCTTTGTGGTTTTCCTACAGCTGTTTCCCAGGCCTTCACTCAGCCAGGCCTGGACAGCAGGCCCTTGGAGTGGCAGGGAGGAGCCTTCCCAGAATAACAGCCCCGCTGAAGGGCAGAGCAGGAACAGATGTGCCTGCGCTGGGGGGTGCGGGCCAGCCACCGCCTGCCCGGGGCCTCGTGGAGCCTGCTGGCTGGACAGGGCGGGGGCAGGTTTCATAGAGCCCCACTCCCACAGAGCCAGCAAAGGGCCGTGGGACCCCAGGACTGGGCCCCTCGAGCCTGTGGGCTTCCTGGCCATCCCTCGAGCCTCCCCCTGCAAAGGGGCTGACGCTCCGCCCGTCCCCCTCCCTTCTCCAGCCTGTCCTGGACCTGGGTGGGGATGCGTCTCTCCAGGGAGAGGGTCCCTGGGGTCTCTTCCTATGTTGTGGGGACTGTGGCTGTGGCACAGCCCTTGGTCATTGGGCCTGCAGCCCGGAACCCCAGAGGCTCTCCCTCACTGGGCCGAAGCGTGTTCTCCGGGCAGAACCCAGGGCCACTGCTCCGCCACAGGACAGAGAAGGGTCTTGGGCCTAAGGAATCAGCCTGGGGCATATGGCCCCTGCCTACTGTCGCCTGCCCCCCGGTGGTCAGCAGCCACGGTGTGACTAACTGTGCTTCACAGGGCCTTCTGTGGCATGGACAGGGCCCATGCCACTGGGACCCTTCCCATGTGCTCTGGGCCTCTGTGGCATGAGGCCCATCAATTGTGGGCAGAGTTGGAGACGGTGGGACAGTTATCTCAAAGTCAGACCCACAAGCTTTTATACCCAAACCACAGAGCCAGTCTCCCTGGGGTCCCTGCCCCTGCCAGCAAGGGTGGGGTGGGGGCCAAGGGCTAGCTGGGTGGGCATGGCCCGGGCAGGGTGGGGTCGAGAGGGGTGGTGGAAGGGATCTGAGGTTGGGCCCAGCACAAAATACCTGGAGCCTGTGGAAAGGGAGGCTGAAGAAGCCTCTAATAGGGAGCCCGACCCTGGCTACCAGGGCCTTGGCGAGGGGGCTCCAGGAAGTGCTGGACTCCTTTCCAGGGGCGGTTCTTGGTAGAGGAGAGGCCCACTCTGCCTGCCCCGAGGACCCCACCAAGTCTCTGCCTGGCTGTGACTTGGGAACTGCCACGAAGGGTCACGGCTGGGAGAAGCTTGGTTTCCTCTCCAAGGATGAGCCGAGGCGACAGGCTTGGGTGGGACTGCTTGAAGGTCCTTCCTAACCCATGCCATCTCCCGGGCTCACGCTGGACATGGTCTGGGGAAGCAGCGGGTGGCATCTGGCAGCGACTGGAGATCATTTCCTGATGACGTCTGGGAGTGGTGTTTTCTCTTGGAGACAAACCCCACGCTGTACTTGGCGTCAAAACAGCATAAGCGAGCGAACAGACAGGAGGGAACCGGAAACTGTCCGAGCAGGTGGTGGGCAGCTTAGGATCTGTAGTCCTTTTTGCTGTAGGGTTTATTGCCCAAAATGCTATCGATCTCGTGGATAATGGACGATGACAGTTTTGGAAGGACCTGCGTGCGGGGACAAGAACTAGTCAGAGCTCCATGAGCGAGTCTGGCCGGGCCTGTGGAGGGAGGCAGGCGACCCTTCCACGTTCCACGGACTGGCAGGTGGTGGTGGCAGGGTCGAGGCCCCCAAGTGCCTGCCTTCTGTGCCCCCTAACTGCTCTCCCAGCTGCCCCTGCTTTAGGTGACAGCAACACCAGCCTTCTGGGTGACAAAATTCCCCAGGACTGACTCTGCTCTCCCGCCCCACATCCAGTTTCTCAGCCAATCTCATCAGCACCCAGGCTCCAACCACAGCTCCCACACCTGACCTCAGAGACTGCTGCTACCTCCCACCAGCCATCTCGGCCTTGGCCTTGACCTTGAAGTGCCCCCGTGAGCTGCCAGAAAGCAAGACCCTTTCAACAGCTCCTGGGAGCATGCCAGGCTCTGTTCCCAGCTCAGCCCAGTCCTTAGAGGCATGTTAACACCCTGGGGACCTCAGCTCTGCCTGGTGCCTCCTCAGCCTGCCAGGACTGCTCCTCCCCGGAAGCTTCTATGCACGAGTCTCTGGCACCTCTTCAAGACTTGCTCCAAAGCCCTTTTCTCCCCTGGCCCAGCTGACCCCGGAAGCCTGGCACTGTGGCTCTCCTGCCCTGCCTGCCCTGCTTCCTAAGGTGCTGGTCACCTCTGGCATTTGTCACTGACTTCTTGCCTTTCGTGTTCATATCTGCTCCTGTTATCAGGACGCAGTTCAGAGCAGGCTCACGCCAGATGCAGCCCCTGCACTTTTCCGGGCACTGCGGGTGCTGAGTGGCCCTGTGCTTGGGTGCAGGGCTCGCTGGGCCCTGAGCTCCACCTCAGCCCCCTCTCACCTGTATTGCTCCAATGTTCTCCATGAGCTGTTCCGCGTTGGAAGCACCGAGGAGCACAGAGCTGACCCCCTCGTTCCTCAGGCACCAGGCTGGGGGAGCAAGACAGGAGGTGAGGGAGGCAGGTCTTCCCACTGTGGCCTCTGGCTCTGCCTTGCCCCTGCCTGGGCCAGAGAGACCCTGCTTTTTGGTCTGGGGGCTGAGGGTGCCAGGAAGCTCAGCAGTGCCAAAGGGGACTCTGCCCAAAGCCTGGTGGAGAAGGTGCCGGAGAGCTCTGGCCCCGCTGCCCCTGTGGAAATCAGGCCCAAGGGCTCAGGCACCCCCCGTTCCCCGTGCCACATGGCTGGTGGATGGAGGGGGTGGCCCAGGCTCTCAAGGACCCATGCCCTCTCCCCAGGGACATGGACCTAACCCTGTCCCTTGCAGCCCTGACAGCTATGGCCATGTCACACAGGAGTTCCTCACCTCCTGCCAGGAACACTGGCCCACTGGGCTCTGAGCCCCATCACCTATGGCCAGCTGCGAGAGCCCACAGTCCAGGCCCTCAGGGACCCCGTCCCTGTGCCCAGCTCCCTGTTACCTATGGCCAGCTGGGGGAGGGTGCACCCCAGGCGCTCGGCGATGGCCTGCAGCTCCTTCAGCTTGGCCTGCTGGCGCCGGCCCTCCTCACTCAGGATCTTGTCTTTCAGCCACTGGTAGCCCTGGGGGTGGACACAGCTACAAGTGAGGGGTCCCCTGGGCCTCCCACCGCAGATGGCTGATGACCTGTGCTCCATCTGCCCCAGGCCCAGGCCTTCCAGCATCACCAGCCGTGGGCCAGACTGTGGCAGGGTGCGGTCGGACCCGTCTCTGAGGTCAGGACCCCTGGGGGACCCAGGGAAGCCAGAGAGGTTGGGGTGACCTCCCAGGCCAGCCCCCAGCCCTGCTCTTAACCCCAGAGGTCTCAGTGGCGGTGCAGAGTGGGGTGTTCTGGAAGGGAGGCTACCTCAAAGGGCCTGAGTGGACCCTGCCCTCCTCACCTGGGGCCTGTG